CGCCAACGGGGTGTTTCGCCCCTTTTCTCTGCTTCACCGCAGCCCCTGGGGTTCGTGCTCCGATAAGGTAAGTCCTAATAGGATAAGGAGACACTATCTGGTTCTGGTTCTGGTCTAGTTCTGTTTTGGTTAACCAGTTAATGAATTTCTGTCTTATACATTTGGGCGTTAGGTGTGTGGACGGAACTGAGCTTCTCATTCGTAATTCCTCAGAGTGGAAGCCATCGCGTGCGATGAAGCTCTGAGGTCGAATTGGGATCCTTCTGTCCCGTCCCCTGTAGCGGTCAGTATTCATAGAAATTCCTGTAATAGGATCCTATTAGGCCATAATTCCCTCCGTTCTCTGTGTAATTCTCTGTTAGAGTGTCAGCAGGCAGATGGGTGGGTCTCTGGTAAAACCCTCTAAGGATAGCCCTTTGGATTGTATGTTTAGTAAATGGCCTTTACCCGGTGTTCAAAAAAGAAATAGTTACACCTTGTGTAAAAATTGATGTGGCTAGTGTTGTGGAAATTGAATTGTGGAGAGGATGTGCATTTCCCCCAGAACATGTGCAGTGTATATTGTAGCTATTCTCCGACAGTGACTAAGCTAGATTTGAATATACTGTAGCTGTCTGCTTGTGAAAGTTGTCAGTACATTGACACATAAGAATTACATAGACTTCCTTTTGAAATTTCCTTTTCCTCCGAATAATTTCTCCTGTTTGTCTTTTGCTGCTGTTGTTCTGACAGGAAAGATGCTTGTCTGTTTTGAAGTGGAATATAATGGATCTGTTTTTCCTTGTTCATTTTTCTGCTGTATAGGATATCCACAAAATGGTTAAAGTGTGAACGTTGATGCTGAGAAGTTGTTAGGCAAAAGTGTTATGCTTTTAACGTACTACTCCTGAGGATTTTGGCATAAAAAAAATAAAAAATCTGCACACAATATTTTAAAATTCTGCAAAATCCTGCAAGTTTTATTTGTCAATAAATAAATGTGGAGGCTCCAGCATGGCAGTGGGGAGCACAGGCCACTGGCTGCACAGAGGTGGGACATCACCCTGCAGCCCCCTCCTCCCCGAGACACAGACTCGGCAGTGAGGCTGCACCTGACCCTGACACAGCGCAAGGGCCAGGCCTGCCCCAGAAACACCCCATGGCCCTGCCCCTCCATGCCAGGTGCAACAAGCAGGCAAGAGGGACAGAGTCTCACATGTATACCTGCCCAGTCCTGGCCCCCGAATCCAGGTGTGGGGTCAGGAAGGCTTAGTGTTGGGGGATCCAAGTGAGAGGGTTTTGTGTGGGTTAATCTGGGTGCAGGCAGCTCAGTGGGGGGTCTGGATGCACAGGGGCTTGTTGGGGGGTTCTGGGTGCAGGGGTAATAGGACTCTGCAGGGGAGTCGAGGTGAAGGTTGTTGAGGCTCAGCGGGGAGGAGGGGTCTGGGTTTGGGGAGATGGGGCTCAGCAGTGGGGGAGTCTGGGTGTAGGGGACTCAGTTGGGGGGTCTGGATGCTAGGGGAGTGGGGCTTGGTGGGGTGGGAGTCCAGGTGCAGCTGGTTGGGGCTCAATGGGGGGGGTCCAGGAGCAGGGGGGCTCATTGGGGTGGTCCAGGTGTAGGGGGTGGAGCTCAGCGGGATAGGTCTCAGTGGAGGGTGGTCTGGGTGCAGGGGGTAGGGGCTTGGTAGGGATCTGAATGCAGAGGGTGTTGGGCTCGGTCCTGGGGAGAGGTCCAGGTGTGATCCAGGTGCAGGGGTTTCAGATGGAGGAGGTGAGGCTTGGTTGGGTAGGGATTCTAGGTGTGTGTGTGTGTGGGTGGGTGAGACTCGGTGAGGGAGTGTGGGTATGGGGGCATTCAGATGCATGGGAGTTGGGCAGATGAGGGAGCAGTTCCTCGTGCAGTGTCTCCTCCCCCTGTGGCTGAAGAGCAATGGCAGAGGGGGGATGTGGAGCTCCCTGCAGCCGGGGGAAATTTCTAGGGGTGGGTCTGACCTGGCCCCGGATGTTCCTTGCAGGGGAAGAGAAGCTGAGCCCACCTCAGGATAGGAGCCACTGACTGGGACATCCCCAGTCCCGCACCCTCCTCCCTGCAGTGATTTACCTCTCAGCTGGCTGCTCTGGATGCCTGAATCGATGTGCCAGCCCTGCTGGGGAGGGGTGCATGACTGCTCTTGAGGCTTCCCTTTGCTTCCCCATCAGAAAGTCATTTTTTTTCTGTGGGAAGCAAAAAAATCTATGGGGGACATGAATTCTGCATGCACACAGTAGCAAAGAAGTCCCCCAGGAGTAATGTATGACCAGTCAATGAGAATTCATTCTGGTAATGTGATGTTTGTCATTTAGGGCCAGAACTTGCATCACTTAAAAAAAAAAAAGTCAGATTCTCATTTGCATTCACGCTCTCAGACTTCCAGAACAATGCAAAGTACATTATACATTAATACAGTACATCAACCTGGGAGTACATTATATTTACACTAAATGTAAGGCCACTTTACATTCCTAGTATAATGTAAATTGGCCTTAGTTTAAGTGAGAATCCACCTGAATGGAATCTTTTAGTTTTTCCATTTACTTCAATGGAAGGCTGGTCTTTTACCCTTTCTGAAAGTTTGGTTGGGATGAAGTTTTTGTAGAACGGCTCTTAAAATGTTTCTAGTTTAACAGACATTCCAGCTCTTCTGTTCTTGCAGATTAATTAACTATCATTTTAATTTCTCCAACTTGCCTCCATATTTACTATTGCACAAGACACAGAAGTTTTAGGGAAGATCCAGCAGTCCTTGCTCCGTCAAAACTTGCCCAATTTAGTGGAAGCTTTGGCTGACTAAGGAACTGCAGGATTTGGGTGCTAGATATTAATTTGGAGATGAAAGTATGGAGCAGTGTCTGAGTTACACTCATTTGGTTTTATAACTTTATGGTTTTAAAATATTGCCAACCAAATATGTGACCATTTCATACTACAGTGAATAGGGTAGTGGCAATGTGCACCATTACCCTCTGCTAGATGGAATCAGAACCTGTGGGTCATGGGACCCATACTGTCAACAGATAATGAAGATTCTCCTTTAGCTTAACTAGAAGGTGTCTGTTTTTGGAGTAGGGGTTTCTGCATTATAACCATGCTGCCACCATGTGAGTTCGGAGTAGCCATGGTATGTATGGAAGTGACCATGGGCAGTGGGTGAAGCTTCCTCTTGGGGAGGCTAGCCCCCTGCCCCATCTCTTCTGGCCGAGGCCCTGCCTCTTCCAGCCGAAACCACACCCCTACTCACTGCTCTCAGACACCCCATGGCCCTGGCTGGGTGCGGTGAGAGCTTGGGGTGGGGGCTGAGAGCTTGGCTGGAGTTCAGAGACCCTCCCCCGTTATGCCCCTTCCGCCCATGACCCCACCCCATTTTGCCCCTTCCCCTGCTCCCATTCTGCCCCCATGCCACCTCTTCCCCCCATCCCCCGGGACCCTGCCCACTGGACAGCTCCTCCAGTCCCAGGGCCGTGGCAGGGGGAGATTTTTCCGTGGGCTTCAAATCAGCCACTGCTCCACCCAGCGGCATGAGGTTTGGGGTGGCTTACCCTCCCCACACCTCCATTACATGCTGCCATTGGTAGTAACAACCATGAAGTTGCTACGCCTTGTCATTCAGCACAGGACTGGTAATTGTTTTCCTTAACATGGTGTTAAACATGCAAGTTTATCCTGTAGTTTTTGCATACACAACACTCCCACTAAAGTTAATCAGAATTTTTGAATGTAGATGAAGGATATCAATTTCATGAAAAATTAAGGCATCCATCCTGGAAAAAAACTCCACAATTATTCATACTATTAAAAATCCAAGTCACTTCAGGTGTGTTTGTAGTGCTTCTGTGTTTACATTTTACATATGTTCTAACAAACAGTGTTAGCAGCAAGAATGTAGGTTGACACGAGGAATTTTAAGCAAATATTCAGGGAAAGCTAATTCTGAATTCATAAACGTGAGTATTTGCATAAGAACATGAATCAATAATCATATAAAGAAGGAACATAATTGTACTATGTAATCTATGCAAGTCAAACCAAACAATACTGCTCAAATTCTGAAGCTGGCACATCAAATCCTTGCAAAAATAAAAAAACTGCTCATGAGAAATCCATAGCCCACAATTTTTTCACTGCTGGATCAGCCCACAGCATATATACTGTTTCATATATGTTAAAACTTCACGGTTTACAGTTTAAATGAGATAAGAATAATAGCTTTAGCCTTGTTTTTACCTCCCTGATGAGTTAGCATTTCTGATTTTAACAAGAGAGGTGGATCTCAGGAGTTGGGTGTGGATTTAGACTACCTCCTCCTCTTCCAAAAGTCTGGGAGTGCTTGGGTTTGGACCCAGAGCTTAAGTTAATTTGCAATAATTAAAGTACGATGTGTGGGATGGGGCTAAAATGAGAGTTAAAAATCTAATGCTCCTACCTTGGGGCCTCTATCCTCATTCATTTTACACCATCTTCAGTGCTCTGAAGGGCTTAGTCCTCCCTCATCACATACTGTACAAGCAGAAATATTTGAGTGAACTGTTGCCAATGGCTCAGAGCAGGGAAGGAGTATGTTTCAGATTACACTGCAATGGTATTGTTCTGATCTGATCTCCTTTCAAGGGAGAGGCTGAGAGAGGCAGCTTCAGGGGATTTAGCACTAGCAACAGCACATGATCCATCAGTCGCGTGATTCTCACCACTGAAGGCTAATGGGAAGGATCAAGTAAAAGCTAAAGCTCCCTTGTAGAAGCAACAGCAATTTTTTCTGCTCCTTCTCTTCTACCACCAACCAGACCTCCCATGGCTTCTCCCAGGCTAGAGACCTACTGCTGTCCCAACCGGGATGCAGCCACGCAACTGGTGCTGACTTTCCAGCCTGAGGTTTTCTGTGGAGTTTGCATTGGCAGTGCCTCAGTCAGTCTGCTGCTCAGCATCCTGCAGCTCCTTCCCAAGCAGGGACAGAGTCCCCGGAAGATGCCAAAAGCTTCATCCTCAACCATTCTTCTCCTCATCTCCGTTTGTGACATCCTGGGTGGCCTAGGTAAGGACCAGCTTGTTGTGCCTTGCCCTAGAGTGGATTCCCTCTGCCTGGAGGCAGTGTGGCTAAATGGATCCATGTAGCAACCTAAAGAGCTCTGGGATGGAAGAATATTGTTTCTGTTTTGCTGGTAGATTTGGGTTAAGGGATGCTAGGAAATAATGGGTCTTCATGGAAGAGAGATTTTTTTTGAATGTTAGGTTTAACAGTTCACATTTAAAACCAAGCACTCTTCAAAATCTGCACCTAAAACTAACAAAATCCAAGCAGACAGATGTTGGAAGTTTTTTCAATGGCTGACAGATCCAAAACTTAATTGTCCGCAAAGACTAACTTTTAAAAACATTCTTCTGATCCTTAAACACTCCAAACAAAGGCTGTAGCATTATGAAAATGCCAGCTACTCAACTGGGCAAATCGCATGAGCAACAAACCCAAGAGTGCTGCTTTAGATTGTGCTATAGATAGGGTATTGAAATCTATAAGAATCTTCCTCATCCAATGCCCTGCCTGGTCACAAGGAGAGAACAGGCTGAGGAAGTGGAAGAATGAGGCAATATGCATGAACACCCATATGTCAAAACTAAAGTGGTGTCTAATTCTAATCTGCCAGACTATGAAACGTGCTGCCAAAGTATAAATGAACACTAATTGCACCACGTTCAGAGCTAAATGCAGAACTTCCTCTTCATCCAGACTTTGCTGCAATAATATCTTTACTCTCACATTTTATATAAAATGATGAAATAAATAATATAAATAAATAAATAAAATAATAATAAATAATATAATCTGAAGTCCTGTGGCTGGGATGAAGGGAGAGACACCTATAGGTATTGTTCTCTACCTTTGAGATTTGCTCAGACAATACAGTAAAGAGCACCTATATAAGACTCTGGATAGACAGCCCTTTAATTTGATGAGGTCAAAAATGTGACAGAGGTTTTTCTGTTTTAATTATATTGACAAATCAGAACCAATTGTCTTGTATCATCTTTGTCTGAGACCTTGTGTAATCTTTCCTGGGTCAGGGATCAATTCTCATTAAATGGTATATAAAGCATCATGGGTAGTGCTATCACATTGTAATAAGAATCTTCACTGATTGCAAGCTGTGATGTCTTTTAAGGCAGTATTGAGAATGTTATTTGTTTCATTCATTTGAAAGAGTTGTTTGCAAAAATGAGAATAGATTAAGGGTATAAAAATACCTTTAATACTAAAATGTAAAGAGTTAAAGAGAAATGAATGTAAGAACATTGATATATGCAAATATATCAGAGAAAAGAAGTAAATATAACAGAGAAAAGAAGTAAAATATAACAGAGAAAAGAAGTAAAAAGAAAATGCTTTAATTATGAGATTACTTTCATTTGATGACAGCCTGTGAGATGCTATCTAGTTCATTTTAGAGAAATGTGTGTCAGTGTTAATGAAATGAAGTATTTTTTAAATAGAACAGAACATTTTAGACCACAGCAACTTTAAACTTTGGTGCAGCATTCACTGATAGATTATGGTGAAATTTAAATAATTGAGTTGTCTTGTGCTCAATTCAAGCACAGTCCTTGCTTTGTTCACATGTAAAAAGCAGGCTAACTGTGCAAGTATGTGACTCAAAACATATTAACACATTCAGAACGCTAATGAATTTTCCCATTAGGTATAATCTTCAGATCAACTGTATGGATAGGCTTCCCAGACTTCATAGCAAACATCTCTGTGGTGAATGGAACTGATGTGTGGCCTTCTGCCTTCTGTGTGGGAAGTGCAGTAAGTACAAAACTCTTTTTTTCTTGCTAGGGTCACTAATTTGATAAAGGAAGCCTGAAGGACAAACTCTTCCTGATCTAAAGAAAATTGAACTATCATTCAGATCTATAAGTATAATGGGTTTCTGCCTCTCCCAAGCCCTACAAGTGAAAAAACAAGAGAAATGTATTAATTGCTCACAAGGTACAAGCATTGGCACGCCCTGCTATGCAGCACCAGCTTAGAGTGGGAGGAGTGCGAGCTATTTCCTGAAAGCTGAGGCCAAAATTTTCACATGTGGGTGCTTAAAGCTAGGTGCTTAAATAGGGTGACCAGATGTCCCGATTTTATAGGGACAGTCCCGATTTTTGGGTCTTTTTCTTATATAGGCTCCTATTACCCCCCATGCCCTGTCCCGATTTTTCACACTTGCTGTCTGGTCACCCTATGCTTAAATCATATCTGGGCATCTAAATGAATGGTTTGATTTTCAGAGATCCTAACCACCCACAAGCCCCAGTGAAGTCAATAAGGTAATTCAGATGTACAATGACTTAGGACAAAATCAAGCTCTGGGTTTGTATGGGACAAAGGTAAATGGGTCTCTGAGTGAGGTACTTTGTAATTACATACTATATGCTGAAAATCAGACAGGAAATCTCGGGTGGGGAGTTTACCCCTTCTGCTAAATGAAAAATATGGTTGGCCTGAATAATTCTGGAGAGCTTGCAAATCTCAGGAATTTCAAAGTGACAAAACTGTTTGCAGGGGTTTATTACACTGTCATTCATACTCTAACTGAATTTGGTTCAAATATGGGGTGATGTATAAACTTAAATGGCATATAAATGCTATATCTGACCAATATTCATTTCAATTCACAGTTTTTACAGTAATATGGAGTCTGACAAATAGGACAGAACAAAGACTTATTAAAAGCCAGTGGGAATATTGGGTACCCAAAGAATTTCCGATCAAGCATGTACAATACTATAATTACAATCTAAATGTTGCTAAGGATCTTTTTCTAAACAAAAATCTGATTAGGTTTGAAAAGACATACTATCATGGTGTTGTACAGAAACCTGTAACCAACTGCTACAAATCTGAATTTCCACATTAAACTATACGTACCATACAGGCAAAAATCAGTCATACTACAACCTTTTCTAATCCCTCTCTATTTCTCATCACACACTTCTGAGTTTTGCCAGGTACAAGTAGAAAAAACAAGGGAAAAAAACATTATTCCTTGTTAACTGTGTACAAACTTGTATCATAGTCCAAGCCTGATTTTTTTCAAAAAAGAAAAAAAGAAAGAAAACTTGCCAAGATAAAAATTTTGCAGCAGTAAAGTGCAATTCTGAAAACATCATAATTTCACTATGTTAACATTGAATGAATATTTTAAACAAAGTTTTTACCATTGATGCTGTTTATTTTTTGTCTTGATCCCAGCATGGATGATGAAATATGACTGGCCAGCATCAGGGTTGGTTCAAAGATTCACTTTCTGGCTCTTTTGCACTAGAAAAATACTGCAATATTTGGGTCTGTAACAGTGCAAGGGAATGTTTACATTTCAGAAAACAAAATGACAAATAACCCTCTTCCTACTCCCTTCTCCCACCTTATTCTCATTAGAATTCATGAAACCACTTATAGTCATGTAAAATGTATTTTCTTGATTTTGTTTAAAAAACAAAATGCCATGCATTCTGGCCTTAAACCAAATAGGCCTTGATTCATCGCCTTGGGAGACCCCCCCCCCATACAAGCAGGGGAAACTGACTCCAAAGTAGATACACCCCCAAGAAAGAACAGATTGTGTTTACAATGCCACACTCCCAGAGGTTTCCACCAGGACTGGCAGTTCTACTTGGCAGCCAGCAGAGACTACCCAGGGGATGAGTAGAACGAGGATGTATCCACTTCCTGCTGACTTTTTCCCCCATAGATTCCAGGGCCAGAAGGGACCACCGTAGAGCAAATCTTTTAGAAGAACCACCACCAATCTTGATTTTAAAATTGCCAAGGATTGAGAATTTAACACAACCCTTAGTAACTTTTGCCAATGGTTAATTACTCTCATTAGGCATAAATCTTTAACAATCTCCAATCTGAATTTGTCTATCTTCAGATTCCAGCCAGGGGCAGCAGAGCCTTTCCAAAAGTTGGGGGGTCAGGGGCCCTCACCCTGCCCCTTATGTCCAAGTCCCCGCCCCTGGCCAAGCCAGAAGCCAGAGCGGGCTGCGAGCCATGGACCCTCGGCCTCGGGGGGAAGAGGAGAGGCTGGGGTGGGGCCCATGGCAAAAAGTGGACAGGTGGAAAGTAGGAGGGCCATGGCTCCCTGCCCCCCCCCTCTTCTGGCACCCCTGAATCCAGCCCTTAGATTGTGGTTTACCTTTCTCTGCTAGATTGAAGAGCCCATTTCAAATATATATTTCCCATGTTGATACCTTTAATGTTCTCTTTTGTTAAGCTTAATAGATTGAACTCCTTGAGTCTATCACTATAAAACAGGGCACCAAAGGCACTAATCCTTTAATCGTTCTCATTCTGAACCCTCTCCAATTTATCAACGTTCTTCTTAAATTGTGGACACTGTAACTGGACACAGAATTCCAGCAGTGGTCACATCAGTGCCAAATACAAATTCTCCTGTTTATGCATCCAAGGATCATGTTAACCCTTTTAGCCACAGCACCACACTGGGAGTTCATGTTCAGCTAGTTATCCACCCTCCCCCGACCAAATATTTTTCAGAGTCACTGCTTCCCAGGATAGAGTCCCCCATCCTGTAAGTATGGCCTACTTTTTTGTTCCTAGATTAATACATTTATAATTAGCTGTATTAAAACACATATAGTTTGCTTGCGCCCAGCTTGCCAAACAATCCAGATCTGTCTGAATCAGTGACCTGTCATTGTCATTATTTACCACTCCCCCAATTTTTGTGTCATCTGGAAACTTTATCAGTGATGATGTTATATTTTTCTTCCAGGTCATTGATAAAAATATTAAATAGAATAGAGCCAAGAACAAATCACAGTGGTCGATGATTTCCCATTTTCAAATACATTTTGAGACCTATCAGTTAGCTAGTTTTTAATCCATTTAATGCGTGCCATGTTGATCTTGTAGTTCTTTAACAAATGTTGTGTGGTACCAAGACAAATGCCTTACAGGAGTCTCAGTTTATTACATCAACACTATTACCTTTATCAACTAAACTTGTAATCTCATCAAAAAAGAAGATGAAATTAGTTTGACAGGATCTATTTTCCATAAATCCACATTGATTTGCATTAATTATATTACCCTCCTTTGATTCTTTATCAATTGAGTCCAGTATCAGCTGCCCCATTATCTTGCTCAGGATTGATGTCAGACTGACCGGCCTATAAGTACCCAGGTCATCTCGTATACTCTTCTTAAAAATTGGCACATTGGTTTTCTTCTAGTCTATGGAAACTTCCCCATGGTTTCAAGACTTATTTAAAATAAACATTACATTCCATTTAGCTACTCAGGCAACTCTTTAAAAACTCTTAGATGCTATTTATCTGGGCCTGCTGATTTAAAAATATCTAATTTTACTAGCTGCTGTTCAACATCCTCCTGAGATACAAGTGGAATGGAAAGAGTATTATAAGATGATGACTACATCTGCTTTGTTCCTTAAATACAGAAAAAATACGTATTAAACACTTCTGCATTTTCTATATTATTATTGATATTTCTACCATTGCCATCTAGTAATGGACCAATACCATTGTTAGGATTTTTTTGTTCCTAATATATTTTTTAAAATTCTTCTTTTCGTGCTTAACTCTGCTGGCCATAGATTTCTTCTTGAGTCCCTTTGATGCCATCATCAGTTTTCTACAATTCCTAACTTCTGATTTGTATTCATTACTATCAACTTCCCTTTTCTTCTATTTGTTTTAATATATAAAATGGCTGCCTTCACTTCCTTTCTAAACCAGGTCAGCTTTTCAACCAATATGGCCTTCTTCCTTAGTTGTGGGATTGTGTTTTTTTAGCCATCTAGTAAGGCATTCTTAAACAATTACAAATTATTATTAATCTTTTCCTGATTAAATTCTTCCTCCCAGCTTATTTGGATCATAATAGTTTTCTGCTTTGTGAAACTGATCCTTTTAAACCACCTATTATAAATATAATTGGTCTGAACTTTATTCTGCTTGCACATAATAAAGATGATCAAGTCATCATGGCTTGTACCTAAGTTACCATTAATTTTTATTTCTGTGATCAGCTCTTCTGTATCTGTCAAAATGAGGTCTAAAATAGAATTCTCCTATGTTGGATGCCACACTTTTTGCCATCTGTAGTATTTAGAAATCCCAAGGATGTTTTAGTTCTGGTAGCATTGACCTCCAACATATGTCACTCTGATTGAATTCCCCCAGGATTACACTGCTTTTCCCCCCTACACATTACAGATAGGTGCATAAGGAGCCAGTCAGTCTCTCCCCAGTGTGATTTGGTGGTCAGTAGCAAACACCTACTAATACCCCATCTTGGACAGATGAAGCACAAATCTGTTTGAGGCAGTATTGACTAGCTCCATCTTCCCTAATGAGGTGGAGGAAGCCAGTGCAGATCTTGAGCAAATCAAGCCCACAGATTCTTTTAAATGGAATTTTTTAAATATTATTTTTCAAATGGACATCTTACAAAGAAAAAAAATTAAAACTAAGCTCAAGTTATACACTGAATGTTATGAATAAAGTGCATTCCAGTGATGAAATTATTGGAGCCTGAAGGTGTATTGATGGCTTTAGTGATTGGGCCAAGGATCAACATCTCTGGGGAAAAGGAGTATTTTCAGATTGTGGAGGAGGGAATACCAGGGATTTGTTTTCAGACTTGTAGCCATCACTGATGTTTGGCTTAATAGCAAGCATCATGGTCTCTGCCTGGTAAAGAGATGCTACTATGGAACCATGGCAAAGGATATTCAGATGAAAATGGAGCCAAAATGAAAGAGGGGCTCAGAGGAACATTAAATTGAATAGTAAACATGTTTCAGACTAATTAAAAAGTGGGGGAAAGTATGCTGTAAAGAACCAGCTTATCAGGGAAAGAATTTTGGAATTTGTAAACACAGAGGAAAAGATCAGATATCTTTATGTATACTCATGAGAAAAAATGAGAATTGTCAACTGTCAAATACAGTGGAATGTAGCTTGACTTAAACCTGTGCACAGCACTTTGGGTCATTACTGAAAAAAAACATCAGAATTAAAGTGTGGACATTTCACTACCACCCATCTCTTTTTTGTTGTTATTCTTTCTCTTGAGAACAGAGATTGTTGACTACACATAATAATTTCCTTTTACATTCACTTCCCAGAATATGAAGGTACAATATAGCTACAATGATTAAGAGTTACAAGTCCTTCTCTCACGTCTCAGGGCTGGTCTACACTAAAGCTGTCAATCGACCTAAGTTACACTACTTCAGTTACATAAGTTATGTAACTGAAGTCGACATAACTTAGGTCAACTTACAGTACTGACTACATTGCGCTGTGTTGACAGGAGACGTTCTCCCGCCGACGTACCTTCTGCCTCTCAGAGAGGTGGAGTACAGAGGTTGACAGGAGAGCACTCTGCTATCAACTTAGCTTGCCTTCACCAGACCTGTTAAATCAACACCGCTGCATCAATCGCAGCAGTGCTGATTTAACTGTAAGTTTAGACAAGCCCTCAGCTACAGGAGAGGCACTAATGTGCAAATACAGTAATTTCAAACATTCTCACTACAAATCTCTTTATGACTGTAACCAAAAATGTTTTACTTTTGGATGCACATGTAAAATTCAGAGTTAAGGTTAGGCAAGGTTAATATCTCTTCTGGGCAGGAGTAAAGCAAGCTTATCAAAAGGGGCCAAATTCTGCTCAACCTATTCATATGAATAGACCAGTTGGCTTCAGTGGGACTACTCCTGTGATTCTGAGCAAGATTTGGCCCCTCATGGATCTCTGTTACAAAACCACACACATTCCATTAAACATGCTTGAATGAGGTCTCATCAGGGCTAGAAGTAACAGAGAGTTTTATTTTGTCCTGGTCACTTAGCCCTGGTCTACACTGGAGGGGGGAGGAGGGGAAATCAATCTAAGTTACGCAACTTCAACTACGTGAATAACGTAGCTGAAGTCGACATACTTAGACCTACTCACTGCAGTGTCTTCACTGCGGTGAGTCAACTGCTGCCGCTCCCCCATTGACTCCGCCTGCGCCTCTTGCGGCGGTGGAGTACTGGAGTTGACTGGAGAGTGCTCGAGGATCGATTTATCGTGTCTAGACTAGACGCAATAAATTGAACCCCGCTGGATCGATCGCTGCCCGCCGATCCAGCGGGTAGTGTAGACATACCATTAGAGACTTTGTCAGCGGCTGTGACACAATGTAATCTTTTCCTTCTGCAGATGTGGATCCAGCTCTTGTACAGTGCTGGCTTCTGGTGGCTGTTTTGCTATGCTGTAGATTCCTACTTGGTGGTTAGAAGATCAGCAGGGCTAAGGTACCAAAGTGAAATTAACTAATTTTTAATTTTAACTAATTAAATATCTACAGCTTTACTTTCTACATTAGGTGTGCATGTTTGTATGCATGTATTCAGGCACACAAATGAAGCATACACAAACATCTGATGTGCATATGCAAACCACGTATTAGTATGCTAGGTGCTTAAAGGGCCATGAATATGATCCATTATTGATTACAAACTTGCATGCACCTAAACTTTGAAAATCTGGGTTGAAATCCTACCTCCGTTGAAGTCAATGGAATAAGTCCCATTGATTCCAGTGGAGCCAAGATTTCACTCCAGCCCCTAATCTACACCATGAATTGAAACTTGTAGCAATAAAATGTTATTCTGAAAAAAAAAGGGTTGAAATACACCTACAATTTTTGCTTCAGGATTTGAGGTTTTATCTTCTTTTCAATGCTGTTGTTAGTGTCCTATTGATGTTTTCATTTTATAGAACTTTTTTTTTCAAGAAAAGAAAAAAATAACCTTATGTATTATATGTCTTTTATAGTGCCCGTCACTGGCGTATCTAAACTCTCTGGCGCTAATAGAATCATAGAAATGTAGGGCTGGAAGTGACCTCAAGAAGTCATCGAGTCCAGTCCCCTGTGCTCTGGCAGTACCAAGTAAACCTAGACCATCCCTGACAGGCGTTTGTCCACCTTGTTTTCAAACGCTTCCAATTATGACCTCCTTTGGAATCCTATTCCAGAGCTTAACTACCTTTATAGTAAGAAAGATTTTCCTAATACCAAACCTAAATCTCCCTGGCTGCAGATTAAGCCCATTACTACTACTTCTTCTACCTTCAGTGGACATGAGAACAGTTGGCCACCATCCTCTTTGTTGCAGCCCTAAACATATTGGAAGACATATCAGGTCACCCCTCAGTCATCTTTTCTCAAGAGTAAGCATGCCCAATTTTTTCAACCTTTCCTCATTGGTCAGGTTTTCTAATTTTTTTTTAATCATTTTTGTTGCTCTCCTCTGGACTCTTTCCAATTTGTCCACATCCTTTCAAAATTGTGGTACCCAGAATTGGACACAATACTCCAGCTGGTGCCTCAGCAGTGCTGAATACAGCAGAACAATTATCTCCTGTGTTATACATACAACACTCCTTTTAATACACCCCAGCATATTAGTCTCTTTTTGCAGCTGCATCATATTCACAACTCGTATTCAATTTGTGGTCCACTATAATCCTCAGATCCTTTTCAGAAGAAACACAACCTAGCCAATTATTCCCCATATTGTAGTGGTGCATTTGATTTTTTCCTTCCTAAGTGAAGTACTTTGTACTTGTCTTTATTGAATTTCATTTAGTTGAATTGAGATCAATTCTCCAATTTGTCAAGGTCATTTTGAATTTTAAACCAGGTCTCCAAAGTGCTTGCAACCCCTCCAATTTTGTATCATCTGCAAATTTTTTAAGCATACTTTCTATTCCATTATTCAACTCATTAATGAAAATATTGAACAATACTGAGCTCAGGAGGAACCCCAGTAGAAACACCCTCCCAGTTTGACAGCCAACCATTGATAACTACTCTTTGAGTACAATGGCCATGCTGTTATACTAGAGACAAAATATAAAGATTTTTCTAAATTGGCTGCCCGTTTTTGGAGTTAGAAGAACAAAAAGACCTTCAGTTTGCCAGTACTGAGCACAGAATTATGTGATATTATACCCAGACAATATTGAGCAATTGGATATTGGAGACACAGTGCAATTGGCAGATGTTATTATGTGCATCTCCAGAACAAATACAAAAGTCCCCGATTTAAACTAGTATTAACCCTGGCCTGTATAGGACAAACTTGAATTTTACATGTATAGTGAAGCTTTGATGCCCAGGAATTATGGAACTGTTAAGCAGTAACAAGCTAGACGACGTGATTTCTAGTGTATATTATAAAAATTCTTCACATATTTTACCCTAATTATTTCCATCAAGGTTATCTAAATTCCCTGTGCCAGACAAGGCTATGTGCTGTAATGACATTCATATTATTTCCTATGGGCAGTGATTCAAGTGTTCAGAGACATTATATGTAAGTCACACCACTCTAGCCTGACGCAATAAGGGCTTGATTCTGCTCCCACCAAAATCAGTCGCAAAACTTTCAGGTCCTGACTCTCAGCCTACTGACGTCAATAGAAAAACTCCCATTGACTTCAGCAGGGTCTGGATCAGGCCCTTGTTGATGTAGATGAAGCAAAATGTGATCATAACTGTTAAAGTTTGTGATTTCCAAATCCCCGAAAGGGCTGAAGTTTATGTGACTGTTCACACTGTTTGGGGAGCCCTTCTTCCTTCTCCTTGTAGCTTTTCCCACCCCAAGCTCCAACTCTGTGGGTCACAGGAAGGGAGGGAGCCTGGGGGGACTACTAGAGGCTTGTGTGGGCAAGAGTCACTTACAGCTCTGTTGACAGGAAGAAACAGAGGCAGGGCCTCTTATCTCAATCTGAACAATTGCATTGACTTAGCCCAGCTCTTATTTTTCCCAAACCGCTTTACCTTTTCCTAGTTACTGTACTGCCAGTGGGATGTTGTTCTACCTGCATATATGTACAATTCTTTTGAATGGTTGCAATGTGAAATTCTACAGCAATTCCAAATGCACATGATGGGTGACATTAACAGCTGCTTTTCCATTTCATGTGCTTCCAGTACAATTGTGTTGTACCACATGATGACATGGGGCCTGGCAATCCTGCTGTGTGTGGAGGGAATTGCCATGCTTTACTACCCTTCCGTTGCTAGGTAAGCAAGACATTAAAAAAAATCTAGCTCTGTGATTACTTGAATGACTTTGTCAGTTTTGGAGATGGGGGGTCAAGTTTTTACCCCAATTACAAGAGTGTAAATGCCGAATATTGGTTTCAATGAAGTTACTCCAGATTTACAGTAAGGAACGTTAGAGCAAATTTGGCCCTGAGTGAATTAAGCTATGTCTACACTAGAGACTTTACAGAGGCACAGCTGTACCGATGCAGCTGCACTGCTGTAAGATCTCGCGTGTAGCCGCTCTCTGCCAATAGGAGAGAGATCTTCCATCAACATAGTTAAACCACCCCCCAATGAGCAGCGGTAGCTATGTTGGTGGGAGAAACTCTCCTGACAACATAGCCCTGTGCACACTACCACTTATGCCAGGGAAACTTGTCGCTGGGGGTGTGTGTGCATTTTTTTCACGCCCCTGAGCAATGTACGTTTTGCCGTCATAAGTGGTAGAGTAGGCATGGCCTTAAAAATACCATATCCTATTTCTCTCATGCCCTTTACTCTGTCCATCCAACTCTTCTCCTACTCATGACTCTCTACTTTAGCATCAGGCTAACCCCTATGCCTGAAACAGCCTCCCATTACTTGTGTGATCCCTTCCTCTTTTAAATTCCTCCTCAAAACTCACTTTTCCTTCAATCACTGATTATGCACCAGGACCATCTACTCCTACTTTGGGTCCCAACCACTGAAAAACAAACAACTAGTGAAGTCCCAAAGATGTTCTTATACTTGTGTATGGTTTGATCACTGAATATAAAATGAGGGGGTCTAAATTAGCTGTTACCACTCAAGAAAGAGATTTTGGAGTTATTGTGGATAGTTCTCTGAAAACATCCGCTCAATGTGCAGTGGCAGTCAAAAAAGCGAACAGAATCCTGGGAATAATTAAGAAAGAGATAGGTAATAGGATAGAAAATATCATGTTGCCTCTATATAAATCCATGGTATGCCCACATCTTGAATACTGTGTGCATATGTGGTCGCCCCATCTCAAAAAAAATATATTAGAATTGGAAAAGGTTCAGAAAAGGGCAACAAAAATGATTAGGGGTATGGAACGGCTTCTGTATGAGGAGAGATTAATAAGACTGGAACTTTTTAGCTTGGAAAAGAGATGGCTAAGGGGAGATATGAATGAGGTCTATAAAATCATGACTGCTGTAGAGAAAGTAGATAAGGAAGTGTTGTTTACTACTTCTCATAATACAAGAACTAGGGGTCACCAAATGAAATTAATAGACAGCAGGTTTAAAACAAATAAAAGGAAGTATTTCTTCGGACAACGCACAGTCAACCTGTGGAACTCTCTGTCAGAGGATGTTGTGAAGGCCAAGACCATAACAGGGTTCAAAAAAGAACTAGATAAATTCATGGAGGATAGGTCCACCAATGGCTATTAGCCAGGATGGGCAGGAATGGTGTCCCTAGCCTCTGTTTGCCAGAAGCTGGGAATGAGCGACAGGGGATGGATCACTTGATGATTACCTGTTCTGTTCATTCCCTCTGGGGCACCTGGCACTGACCGCTGTCAGAAGACAGGATACTGGGCTAGATGGATCTTTGGTGTGACCCAGTAGGGCCATTCTTAAGTTCTTATGAATAACTTAACTTTGGTAAGTTCCAAATAAAACAATTTATACACATAACTCAGAGTCAATGGGTATGTCTACACTGCAGCTGGGGAGGCATGATTCCCAGCATAGGTAGACAGACATGAGCTAGCATGCTAAAAATAGCGGTGTAGACTGCAGTAGGGGCACACACCCTCATTGCTATTTTTAGCATGCTATCTCAAGCAGGGCTAGCACAAGTCTGTTCACAGTGCTGAAAAAAATCACATCTCCCAGCTGCAGTGTAGACATAACCAATATGACCCTTCAGTCATCTGCTTGGGTTTCTGCCAGGACCAGAGAGAAACATGCCACATAAAATGGGTGCTTACTTGCCCCATAGCCCATCCCTGACTTGGCCATGGAAAGTGGAGGATTAAGGCTTCCACAGGCTCCTAGAGAGGGAGAAGATCATGCCAAAGAAGTTCTGTATCCTATTATCCCTTCTTCTTCCATCCTGTCTTAGCTTCATTTTTTTTCCCTTCCACCCAAATTGTTGGAAGGAAGCATTGAAACTCGACTGTATTTCAATAGTCTACTTTGTGACTCACTTGAGCTGGCCAGAATCAATGTGTCACAACATTTTTGGATCTGTTTATTTCATTCCATATTTTTAGCTAAATGTGATGTAAGTAGAATAGTCAAGACTACAAGGTGTGAAGAAGAATTAATCTTTTAATGGTCTCTTCTCAGTTGTGAAAATGGCCTGCAGCATGCAATTCCTCATTACATCACTACCTATGCCCCACTTCTGCTAGTTTTGGTGGCCAATCCAATCCTCTTTAGAAGGACGGTAACAGGAGGTAAGTTCCTAAATGTTAACATTAGTTAGTATATGTGATGTAAAAAAATAATAGTAATGTAAAAGCTATGTCTGTATATCCTGATCTGTGGGGGAGTCCCTTATGAACAAAGCCATGTAAGGATGCAACTAGTCAAGGGAAAGAAATGCACCAGGATTTTTTAGCATAACAGCTAGGTACCAAAAGCAGGGCTCTGTCTACATGGGGGATTTGCTCCAGGTATAGGCATTGGTGGCCAACAACACCATCAACGTAGCTGTGCTGGTTCAAAAACACTATTGTAGATGGACAAAACTGCATTGTATCTTCTCAAAATTTAGCAAAGCTGCCCTGGTACTTATAGCAGACTGAACTGTCTATGCTAGGGGCTTGAACTGGTGCAGCTATCGCTGGCCACTGAGAGTTGAAGTCAGGATTATTCTCTAGTGTAGACAAGGTCTAAGTCACTGAGATATTGTAATGAAATGCAGACTCCATTGGCTTCTCTGCAGCCCTCTCATTAATTGCACATGGAGTCAGATATTAGTTTTACATGTGGTCAAATATGATTGGAATTTGGTTACTCATGACTTTGATGTTAGGAACAAAGGCCTGAAATTGGGCTTGTACACAACTTCATCAGGGGCCTGATGACCACATCTACATGTATTCGAGAGAGGAGCCTGAAATAAAACTTTGGAGCCAAACAATCCCAAGTTTTGTATTTAATATTACACCCACCCAATGCTCAGAACATAATATAAATCCACAAGTTTGCATTAAAATATACACATACTAAAATATATTTAAAAAACTCCTGAAACCCCCCCAATCCCATTACAAATGCAATTTCTGTCCCATCTTCCCTTCCTTCCCTCATTCCTTAATCCCCACTTCCAAGAAAAAGTCTGAGAAAACAGACAGGTTTTTAATAACAATAAAATAATAATTTGTATTGTTTATATCCTAGAGGCTCCAGCCAGAACCAAGACCTCATTGTGCCAGGCACTGTACACACAGAACAAAAAGACTGTTCCCCCATATCCATCATACCAGAGTTCTGGTGAACCACAGTAGGAAGTTTAAACAACAAGGAGTACTTGTGGCACCTTAGAGACTAACAAATTTATTTGGGCATAAGCTTTCGTGTGCTAAAACTCATTTAATCAGATGTATGGAGTGGAAAATACAGTAGGAAGATATATATACATATACAGTAGGAAGTTTGTGTCAGAGCCAAGAGCCCTTATCAAGAACACAGTCCATTTAGATGAGGAGGGGGATCTCATCTTATTAGTAGATCATAGTTGCCATGGTACAATATGAGAAGAAAAGGAGTCTCTCTCTCCCTGACAGCCAAAGCCTTTATAAGGTCAAAAACTCTTTAGACTTTACCCAGAAATCTGCTGGTAGTCAGAGCAGAGCACAGATGTAAACTGTTCTCTAATAATAAGCATATAAAAGGAGACAAACCCCTTTCAAGCACAGATAACTGACTTGGCAACTGCAGCTACCTGGGCATCCAGGAGCAGCTACATGTTGATCAAGGTGATGAAGCACATTACTTCTCTTCTGATGTTGCTTTGGTACCTGCAGTCCTATAGGTATATAGAGGCTACACTTCTTTATCTTCTCTTCAGTGAATAAGGGTTACTTCAGGCTGCACCCTAGCTTCCATGCTGTAAAGTGAACCAATATTGATGACTAGAGCAGCCATATCCTTTCAGTCTCCCTGTTTTACATCAATCAAAAGCAACAAACAAGACTAAAGTCTTCATGAGAGAGCGCAAAGTGTGCCTGCGTCCCCTATGAATGTCTGTATTGCACACAACCTAGCTGCCCATCTCTGCAGAGGGAGTCCTAAGTGACTTATAGGTGCAGAACTCAGAAAACAAAGGCATAACAATTGCATAGTTAAACACACTATCGAAACACTTGTTTCATTTTATGTTTTTAAAAGGTAAAACAGTTATGACCCCTCCTGTTACTTCTCATTTTAGATGGGGTTGATAGAAAGCCAATGGCAAGTTCTGATGTCACCACCCACTTTTGGATGACACTATTTTCTTTAATTGTTAAATGGATAAAGGAGATTATTTAATGAGCTTTCCTCCATCTTCTAAACTATCCTGCATAGAATCATAGAAATGTAGGGCTGGAAGAGACCTTGAAGTCATCAAGTCCAGCCCCCTGCGCTGAGGTAGGACCAAATAAAGCTAGACCATCCTTGGCAGGTGTTTGCCCAACTTATTTTTTTAAAAACCTCCATTGATGGGAATTCCACAACCTCCATTGTAAGCCTATATCAGAGCTTAACTAGCCTTTTAGTTAGAAAATTTCCCCCTGATATCTAACCTTGCTGCAGATTAAGCCCATTGCCTTGTCCACCTACTTTCATTGGACATGGAGAACAATTATTCTCTTTAAAACAGCGCTTAACAGACTTGAAAGCTGTTATAAAGATCCCAACGCCCACTTTCAAGACTAAACATACCCAGGTTTTTTTAACCTTTCCTCACAAGTTAGGATTTTTAAACCTTTTATCATTTTTATTGCTCTCCTTTGGACTCTCTCCAATTTGTCCATATCTTTTCTAAAGGGCGGTGCCCAGAATTGGACACAATACTAATAGCTGGGTCCTCACTAGTGCCAAGCAGAGTGGAACAAGTACCTCCTGTGTCTTACATACAACACTCCTGTTAATACACCCCAGAATATTAGCCTTTTTTGCAACTGCATCCCATTGTTGATTCCATCAATTTGTGATCCAGTACAACCCCCAGATCCTGTTACCATCTAGCCAGTTATTCCCCATTTTGTAGCTGTTCGTTTGATTATTTTCTTCCTAAGTGAAGTACTTTGCACTGTCTTTATTGAATTTCATCTTGTTGAATTCAGACCAATTCTCCAATTTCTAAAGGTCATTTTTAATTCTAATCCTGTCCTCCAAGTGCTCACAACCCCTCCCAGCTTGGTGTCATCTGCACATTTTATAAGCATATTCTCCACTCCATTATCCAAGTCATTAGTGAAAATATTGAGTAGAACTGGAACAAGGTCTGACCCCAGAAAGACCCACCTAGATACACCCTACCAGTTTGACAGCAAACCACTGATAGCTACTGTTTGAGTATAGTCTTTCAACTAGTTTGCTTATGAGAATGTCACATGGGACTGCATCAAAAGCCTTACTAAAATCAAGATCTATCGTGTCTGGTGCTTCCCCCCTTATCCACTTGGCCAGTAAACCCATCAAAAAAGGAAATTAGGTTGGTTTGGCATGATTTGTTCTTTACAAATCCTGCTGCCGATTCCTTATAACCCTATTTTCTTCTTGGTGCTTACAAATTGATTGTTTAATCATTTGTTTCAGTATTTTTCCCGCTATAAAAGTTAGGCCGACTAGTCTATAGTTTCCCGGGTCCTCTCTGTTCCCCCTTTTAAAGATAGGTGCTTTGCCTTTCTCCGGTCTTCTGGGACCATACCTATGTCCTCCAGGAGTTGTCTAAGATAATTGCTAACATTTCCGAGATTGCTTCAACTTGTTCCTTAAGTACCCTAGGATGATTTTGATCAGGCCCTGCCAACCTGAATGCATCTAATTTATCTAAATATTCTTTAACTTGTTCTTTCCCTATTTTGGCTTCTGTTCCTTCCCCCTTGTTGCTTTGTTTTGACTATCTGGTCACCATTAATCCTTTTAGTGAAGACTGAAGCAGAACAGGCATTAAACATCTCAGCCTTCTTCATGTAGTCAGTTATTAGCACTCCTTCCCCACTAAGTTGAGGACCTACACTTTCCTTCCTCTTTCTTTCCTGCATAATGTATTTAAAGAACTTGTTCTTATTGCCTTTTTGTGCTTAGCCTCTCTGATTTTGTCCCTACATGCTTGTGCTATTCTTTTGTACTCCTCCTTAGCAATTTGTACATGTTTTCACTTTTGGTAGGATTCCCTTTTTGATATTCAGCTTATTAAAGAGCTCCTGACTGCGCCATATTGGTTTGTACCTATTCTTTCTCTCTCTCCTTTGCATTAGGATAGTTTGCAGTTATGCCTTTAATATTGTCTCTTTGATTAACTGCCAGCTTTCCTGAATTCCTTTTTCCGTTAGATTTTCTTCCCATGGAACCTCACCTACCATTTCTCTGAGTTTGTTAAAGTCTGCCTTTTTAAAAGTCCATTGTCCTTATTCTGCTATTCTCACTCCTCCCTTTCCTTAGAATCATGAAATCTATCATTTCATGATCACTTTCACCCAAATTGCCTTCCACCTTCTGTTTGTTACCAATTCTTCCCTGTTGGTTAAAATCAAGTCCCATCACAGCAGGAACCTGAGCTACAGCTTCTCCTCTTCCCTTTCCCACTCTCTGGATCCCTGTAAATAAAAAAAACCCCATAGCCATGTACTCATTATACAGTTTTGTACTTTCCAGTTGCCTCATTGCTCAAAGGAAGACAAGGAATCTACACAGAGAATGAAAGACGCCTGGGGACGGAGATTCAGCTCCGCTTTTTCAAAATTATGCTGGTGTTCATTATATGGTAGGAGGCGTATTTTTTAAAAAACTCTGAATACTTCCCAACTGTGGAAGGTGGGGTGTGTGAACGGCATTGGCGGGCTTGCTCTATTTGTTTGTCAACCTGACAGTTTCAAGGGGAGGAATTGTCTAGAAAGGAAAATGTTCTAAATTATTTTTCTTAGTAGCTGAAGCATTAAGCTGCCAATTGCAGCTGTGACACAAGTTCCAGAATATACCGGGGGTGTGTGCGTGTGTGTGTGTGGAGTTTGAGCAACATGAAAACACAAGCCTCAAAGAAAAATGATAAAAAAGATAAGTAGGCATTGACTGGGTAGATAGCTGCCTAGAGCAATAGTCTGAAAAATACAAAGATTGCTATGGTCACTCTCCACAAGAGTAGCCTCAATATGGTCTGGCTGTGGAATTTCAGACCACTTTTTCCCATCTCCAATATGGTATCCTTAGGCAAAACTGTGTCCCAAAGAAAACTGCCATTCTGCAGTGGCAGCTTCCTTATAAAGCAGGGGTCAGCAACCTTTCAGAGGCAGTGTGCCGAGTCTTCATTTATTCACTCTAATTTAAGGTTTCGCGTGCCAGTAATACATTTTAACATTTTTAGAAGGTCTCTTTCTATAAGTCTATAATATATAACTAAACTATGGTTGTATGTAAAGTAAATAAGGTTTTTAAAATGTATAAGAAGCTTCATTTAAAATTAAATTAAAATGCAGAGCCCCGCGGACCGGTGGCCAGGACCCGGGCAGTGTGAGTGCCACTGAAAATCAGCTCACATGCCACCTTCGGCACATGCACTATAGGTTGCCTACCCCTGTTCTAAAGCATGTTGCAGCTAGTACAAAAGATTCTGGAGTACTACTGGGAGTGACAGGTGTTGACTGCTCAGCACAAACTGCTGAACAAAAATAGAGGATCCTTTTGGAGGAAGAAATTATTATTTGCTATTTGTATTACACAAACACATTTGAGATGAGACTGGGGGTCCATCATGCAAGGCACCATACAAACACATAGCAACAGATGGTCCCTGTCATGGAGAACTTGCTGTCTAAACCTACAAGACAGAAATAGGGTAGGAAAGGAAACAGTGTCAAAGAGGGGATGTGGCTTGCCTTAGGTCATGCGTGGGAGCAGCTTGTTAAAGTGGACTGGTTGGGGGGAATGGAACAGGGAAGAAGTGTGAGGGGAGCAAGGTGGAAGGAGAAAAACATGAGGTTTTCACATAGAATGGGAATGACCCATTTGACTATGCAGGAGAAATACAGAGAAACTGCACTAAAGTCTGTTCACTGGGGCTAAAACCTGGGCTTTCTGACATACCCTCTCTTTGGCGCTGAAGATTATTGATTCATTTAACTTGATGTTTGCTATCTGACCATGAGCTGCCCTTATTGGTAAGAACTATTGATATGTTATGACAATTTCAGAGTTCATGGTTGTTTAGGGAACAATGTGCAGCAATGTAGCAATGCTATATATATTTAGTGTATGTATGAACCTTGCAACTCTATTTATATGCCGTATTATAATGTGCTCTTGATACTAGAGTCCCCCCTAGTGTCAGGACATAGTGTTGCAGGGACTTTTCCTCTCTAGCACCCCTTGTTGTCCCAGGTCTGCAATGGTCAGCTGCCTCCATGGCCCAGTGGCCAGCTTCTCTGGCCAGGTCAGGTTTCAGTCCAGTCCCCTTCCAGGGTTAACAGAACACAAATTAAATCTTAACTCAAAATAGCCACCTGGGCATTAAAGCCCACAATATAAACACTAATCCTTCATAGATACCCAACATTGTCAAGGTTGGGCCTCTGACTGGGCCAGGTTACTTGGGTTAGGGCAGGAAAAGCCTTCTTTCCCTTTCCTGGCTTCACCCAGAATTGGCCTGTAGTAGGTACAGCCACTGCTTTTTATCTGGCCTGCTGGGCCCTGATTGGCCTCTACCTGCTCCCGGTCCTGGTAGGTGCCAGAGAACCAACTCTCTCTGATTTTGCCTATAGCTGATCATGGGAGACCTCTCTAGGCCAGTGTTTCCCAAACTTGGGACTCTGCTTGTTTAGGGAAAGCCCCTGGCGGGCCGGGCCGGTTTGTTTACCTGCCGTGTCCGCAGGTCCGGCCGATCGCGGCTCCCACTGGCTGCGGTTCGCTGCTCCAGGCCAATGGGAGCTGCTGGAAGTGGCAGCCAGTACGTCCCTCGGCCCGTGCTGCTTCCCGCAGCCCTCATTGGCCTGGAGCAGCAAACCGCGGCCAGTGGGAGCCGCGATCGGCCGGACCTGCGGACACGGCAGGAAAAAAACCCGGCCGGGCCCGCCAGGGGCTTTCCCTAAACAAGCAGAGTCCCAAGTTTGGGAAACACTGCTCAGAACTGTCCCTTAATGATAGCCTCAACAGCAACACTGAAAATGGCGTTAAGCAGTGAATCCCAG